TTGTGTTAATTGTATCAGGCTGCTGTCTGGCTGTATGCATCAAACGCTGGCGGACAATGAACCTACCATTTTGTTGTTGCTGATGAAGATAACGTCTTACGTTTCAAATGTTGTTGTTGTTTGTAGTTGCTGATGAAGATAACGTCTTACGTTTCCAATGTTGTTGTTGTTTGTGGTTGCTGATGAAGATAACGTCTTACGTTTCAAATGTTGTTGTTGTTTGTAGTTGCTGGTGAAGTACTGGTCATTCTATGCATGAAATCTGCAATGAGTGCAGGGATTATGTGAGTGGTTGGCGGTTTTTCTCGTGTTGTTGCTGTCTGTCCGTTCGTGTCCTGCCGGTCAGTGCGTTCTTTACGGGTTTGCTGCTGTAAAACTGTTGCTCACATTTAGTTGTTGCATTTGTTGTTGTTTTGGCATTTGTTGTTGTTGTATTTGTTGATGTAGACGTATGTTGTCATTGTTGTTGTTGTTGTTGTTACATTGGTTACTTTTATCGCATTTTTTTCTTGTTTTTGTTGCAATATAAAATTAGTCTAATTAAAAAAATTATAATATGGCAATAACGAATTATTAATATTGAACTGTTCAAATTTCTGCGACAATTTATGAAATTAATTTCATCTAGTTGTAGATTGTGTTTAACGAAATCCGCCAAAGAAATGAGAATGCATAAAAAATGTTAATTGGAGCTAATTACATCTCTAACAATTTTACTTCTCCGCTATATCCCTCTTGTTTTTAACTTTCCAGCTTGAACTAAACATATCCCAGTTTATATTCCCAAACAACCCATAAAACTCTAAATACGAACAACTCTAAATACGAACAACTCTAAATACGAACAACTCTAAATACGAACAACTCTAAATACGAACAACTCTAAATACGAACAACTCTAAATATCTTACAAATAAAATTATTCCGGCAGTTTTCATTCTTGAAAAGCAGCACAAAACTAACTGTAATATGTTCTGTTAAATATGTTAATCAAAATTTATCATTAGAAGCAAAGTAATATAGTAACACGAAGCAAAGACGATAGAAGTAATAAACAGAGTTGAAAAATTATAAACAGCCTATCACAATTGTATGTATGATCAACTTGATGGAGTAATGGTTAGAGTTGACGGATCATGCTCTGCAGGAACCTGCTTCGAATACATAAAGATCCCACTTCTCACTTTCATCGTGATGATTGCGTATGGTTGTTGAGTGTTGACAGAAGAGACGATGACACGTAACCTTCCAAACACCTACAGGCAGTGGAACAGTCGATTTTCCAGAATTCCTGGACATGATGGCCAAAAAAATTCAGAGCACCGATTCAACTGGGGAGGTGAGGGAGGCCTTTAGAGTTTTTGACAAGATGAATGAAGGCAGAATAAATGTGTTAGTACACTAATGTTATTTTTTCTACATTTTTGTCCACCAACCAGACAGCGACACATTTTTTAATGGAAATTTCAATGCAGCCCGTGATAAATTTTATGTTGATTAGCTGTGAAAAATTTGCGCATTTTTTGAGAAAACTTGTTTTACAATATTTTTATTTTATTTTTTTTTATTTTTATTGTTTTATTTTTATTTGTTTTTTTTGCTGGTGATGCCCCATTCATATTGTGAGACAAAATTGAAACTACCGTTTGATGCAAATCTATTTTGCACAATTAATTGAGTAAACATAAACAACAAACTGAAATATTGACAACAACATCCACAACAACATTCGCAACAACATCCGCAACAACATCCACAACAGCATCCGCAACAACATCCGCAACAACATCTGCAACAACATCCACAACAACATCCACAACAACATCCGCAACAACATCCGCAACAACATCTACAACAACATCCACAACAGCATCCGCAACAACATCCGCAACAACATCCGCAACAACATCTACAACAACATCCACAACAACATCCACAACCACAGCAACGAGTTGAGGTTCGTACTGGCGAACATCAACTGCCAACTGACAGACGAGGAGATAGATGAACTCATTCAGGATGCCGACCAGAACCAAGATGGATTTATCAGCTTCGAAGGTTCTCCTTCAATTAATTCACTCAATAATTCATTAAAGATTAAAAGTGAATTTAATAAAAGTTCCTACATTCTGATGCATTTGTTAGTTTCAAAGGTCAGGTGAATGATGAGTTAGGGATTAAAAGTGGATTGAGTGGGGATTTTTGACTGCAGTGGCGAATCTAGAAGGGCATTTTTAACAGGATTTGTGTTAAAAGTCAGTTAAAGTCATTGTTGTCACGGAGGAAGTATTGTCTAATGACGAAAGATTGACATTATATTAAAAAAAAGACCGTAACATATGTTTGCAATTGCACCATAAATGTTGTTCCATGGCCAATAGGACAGTTGGACGTTTTCAACATTTTGTAAAAGTCTCCCACTGGTTATTTGGTGAAGTGAAAATATAAATGTACCTACCTCCCGATGTTGTTGCGCATGAAATCAACGCTGGGCTCCTCCTCATTGGTCTCGTCCGTCTGGTGTTCATTATGATGAAAGTGTGAAGCTGCTGCTGCTACTGATGGTGCTGCTGATGATGATGAAAATGCTGCTGCTGCTGATGACGATGATGATGGTGATGATGCTGATGATGTCAATTTGAATTGAGAAACCTTTTTCATCGCATAAGGGAGTCGTAATGTTCTTCCGTCAAATTGCTTCGAATTTGTAGTTTGCAATTTAATTTATAATGATGATGATGGTGATGATAATGATGATGATAATGGTGAAGATAAGGATGATGATAGTGGCGATGATCGTTCAATACAGAATTTTCTGCGATGATGTCAAGTGATAAGAATTGGTGAGAAGATGAAGAAGAAGAAGATGATGGGGACGATGAAGTTGATGGTGATGAAGAAGATGATGATGATGATGATGAAGATGAAGGTGATGGTGATGAAGAAGAAGATGATGACGATGAAGATGATGACGATGATGATGATGGGAAAGATGGTAATGATGATGATGATGATAATGGCAAAGGTGCTGATAACGATGATGAAGCTGAAGAAAGTGATGACGAAGGACATGATGATGATGATGATGATGATAATGTAGATGTAGGTCATGATGATGATGATGATGATGATGATGATATAGATCAGGATGAAGATGATGATGCAAAATATGGTGATGGTGATGAAATGATGATGATTATGATGATGGTTGCAATAAAAATGGAGTTTACATATTTGTAAACTGATGATGATGATCATCATTATTATATCAACTTTGATTATTTGAAAAAAAAACTTTCCATAATTTCATCAGTCATCCACTTTTTTAATTGCTCTGTCATTTTAACGTAACATCTATCTAGTTAATTTTTGACCTATTCATTCATTCATTCGTTCATTCATTCATTCATTCATTCATTCATTCATTCATTCATTCATTCATTCATTCATTCATTCATTCATTCATTCATTCATTCATTCATTCATTCATTCATTCATTCGTTCATTCATTCATTCGTTCATTCATTCCTTCGTTCATTCATTCATTCATTTTTCCATTTCATTTTCCATTGCTATCCATGTTTCTTCATTCATTCATTTACATTTTTTGACAATCCTTCCATTCTTCCACAATTCAACTATGCACCAATTATTTGCTTGTTTATAAAGACAAATTAATGCTAGCTAACGTAAAAATATAAATGATTGATTGAATGAGTGAATGAATGAATGAATGAATGAATGAATGAATGAATGAATGAACGAATGAACGAATGAACGAACCAATGAATAAATGAATGAACGAATGAATGAATGAATGAATGAATGAATGAATGAATGAATGAATGAATGAATGAATGAATGAATAAAATTGGCTCTGTCATTTTCATCATCTAATCATAACCTCATCGATTCATTTCATTTTTTCTTCACTCGTTCATTCCCACATTTGTTTGTCTTTTAGTCATTCGCTATATCCGTTTCTACTATCCGTCCATCAACCTTATTTACGAAGTGAAATGTTTTTCATCCATCCATCCATTCATTCATTCATCCATTCATTCATTCATCCATCCATCCATTCACTCATCCATCTATCCATCCATATATTTATTCATCCATCTATCTATGCATCCATCCATCCATCCATCCATCCATCCATCCATCCATCCATCCATCCATCCATCCATTCATATATTTATTCATCCATCCATGCATCCTCGCATGCATGTATGCATGCATGCATCCATCCATCCATTCATCCATGCATGCATCCATCCATCTTTCGATCGATCCATCCATCTCATCGGTCTCACTGTTAATGGATGTCAAAATGCCATGAATAAATCATTCGTTGATCAACGAGAGTGATGATGATGATGGTGGTGATGATGGTGGTGATGATGATGGTGATAAATGTGATGATGATGGTCATGATGATGATAACCTAGATAGTGGTGATGATGATGGTTGTGATGATGATGGTAATAATGATGATGATAATGACAATTATAGCTGATCATTCTTCCTTTCGTTCATTCATTCATTCATTCGTTCGTTCGTTCGTTCGTTTGTTCGTTCATTCATTCTTTCATTTATTTATCACTTAATGAATCATTTATTTACGAACCGATAGTTTCTTTGGAATGTTTTGTTATTAATATCATGCCTATATCCTATTCAACAACTCTATGCATGGAGAAATAATATCGCACGTACATACACACACAGACACACACACACACATACATACATACACACACACACTCACATACACACACACATATGCACACACATACACTGAGTTCGGGTTCTGTTCGTTTCTTTGATTCCATGATTTGAATCGGGTTATATATATATAATTATTTATTCATTTATATATAATGGATCAGTTTGTTTTTTTATTTGCATTTTGTTGTTTTTATTTTTCATTTCTGCTTCATCATTCGGCATTTGTTTATTCATTTCTTCTGACGCTTACACGAGCCATGATGCGAGAT